ACCCATTCTTTCACAAATGTTTGTAAACCTGACTGCATGGCAAGGTGCTATGGGTCTGAATGAAACAGCTGAATTCAGTGATTGAGAGATGTGTCCCAGTACCTTTGTTCATATAGTGCATCTTTGACAATGCTACTCTGTTGCTTTTGGTTGAGTTTTGCTGCAGTTTTGAAATGCAGCTGCCCTCACCATCCTCCCCAGGTGTGAAGATCATTTTCCGAGTAGGTCTGGTGCTGCTGAAGAATATGCTGGGCTCACAGGAGAAGCTGAAGACATGCCAGGGGCAGTATGAGACCATCGAGAGGCTGCGTGCCATTGACCCTCACTACATTCAGGAGGCCTTCCTCGTGCGGGAGGTACGGACTCCTCAGGAGGAGAAGATGGACCGACTCACAAACTCCTCTGTCTGTGCCTCCAGCATTTCCACAAGTAGTTAGTTTGTATGTAGAGAGACCAGCCTTGTGCAGGACTGACTAGTCATCATGTCAAGGATATGTCCTCTAGAAGCTGTTGAGAGGAGCTGAACAAGGGAGGGACTTGACCTGAATCACTCCAGTAAAATGCCCAGGTGTTTGTGTGCATCATATGATTCAGTGTGTCTCCATGCAGTGGGGCTGGTAGGTACTGTCCTGGAGCTTTATAGAGATGAGAGGCTAGGGACTGAGGTATCGCTGAAGCCGGCTCTGAGGGTCAGTCGCCTCACTCTGTATGAACGGCGGATGTGAGAAGAGATGCACTAGCGTAGCCCCGCTGAAGCCGGCTCTGAGGGTCAGTCGCCTCGCTCTGTATGAACGGCGGATGTGGGCAGAGATGCACTAGCTTAGCCCCGCTGAAGCCGGCTCTGAGGGTCAGTCGCCTCGCTCTGTATGAACGGCGGATGTGGGCAGAGATGCACTAGCTTAGCCCCGCTGAAGTCGGCTCTGAAGGTCACACAGGGGCTTTCGGGGCTGGATTGGCTCAGCCACCAGGCCCAAAAAAGTCCAATGCTGAGACATGGACAGCCATGTGCTCTGTCAAATGTGACTGGCTTGGTTCCATGGGAAATGGCCACAGTCCCTTCCTATAGGCCTCCCTCAGCATCGCGTCACATGTCTGCACTGTGGACTGGGGTGGGGGTGATCCCTGGATTTTACTCACCTGTGCCCAGAGCTTCTGCATAGGGATCCTTGGTGTGAAAGTGCTGCCCCCACTTTGTTTTCTGTTCTGGTGCACAAAGCACTGGGAGAATGTGGTAATGAGCTAGGGCAGGTAGATTCCCTGAGAAGGTCAGCTGTTTGTGTCAGAATGCTGCACCGTCGGCTGGTCCTCATCTGCCTGTGGTGTTTGTGATGTGTAGCTGTACGTCTGTGACTCCCACAAGTACACAGGTCAGAAGAGGTCTTCAGGTCTCGGGAAATGCCAGAACATGTACAGGTCATTCCATTTTAATGCAACAAATGGCACTGGCTTCACCCTTTTTGATGAAATTTGGCATTTGAATTTTACATTTCTTCCGGAGCTGAAAAGTTCCGAGTTCCTGTGACCTTTATGCTAAATAAGCATGGGAGATGCAAAAAGCTCATAGGTTAAAACTCACAGATCCCAAAGCCATTTAGAGACACCACCCCATAAGCAGAAAGTGAAAATAAGAAAAGATGTCCATATCTCACAAATTGCTTCTTCCAAAATATGTCAACCCCTTCAGGTCCTGGAAGTGTCCCTGACAGAAGGGGACATCGAGAAAGAACATCAGGCTCAGCTGAAGCGCTGGAAGGAAGTCCGAGGCGAGCTGAAGCACAAGACCCCTCCCAGGATGCATGGCGCCTGGGCCATCATGGCCGCCGAGCCGCCCAGCCAGCAGGACCTGCAACAGACACCCACCATACAGCTGCCACAGGAGGACAAGGAAGTCCCAAAGCAGAAGGACAACAAGAAGAAGGCCAGCCTGAGGAAGAAGAAGACTCCAAAGGAGATCCCCAACCCGTATGCCCTGCCCAGCGATCCCAAGCCGCTCCTCAAAGCCTCTCCCCTTCAGGAGTCTAACCTGAGCATCAGCAGTGCAGAGCAGGATACATACCTGTAGTTGAGGCTGTTCTGCCCTCATGTGGCTTAACTGGGGAAGTGCTCCTGGACTGTCTAGGCACACTTGGGGAGTGTTTCTTCCTCTTCCTTTCTCCCCTGTATCACAATGGCTGTCTGACATGAGCGGTGCTGGGCTTCTGTCATTACTGTCTCACACTGCAGAGGTGAACTCCCAGCTTATGTATTACCCCTCATTCTTCTGCTCCGTGAGAGGGCCGGGTCCCTAAACCACCCTGATTAACTAATGGATACCACTCTCATCAGCACCCATTTTGTTCATTGGGATTTTAATGACTATTTGTGGAGGTATGAAACTTTTTGTAAAGATTTTGTGGTTTATCCATATATGTAGATGGCAAATGTTTAGGTTTTTTATAAAGCATACAGGGTTTCCCTGTATATATCAGACTCTGACTTGGGAAGTGAGCAAAGATGGTGTCAAGCAGTTTTTTAAAGCCTTTTTGTATTACTAAAAAACACCAGATGGCTAAAACTGAGCTTTTGTAGAGTTCTTTTTCATACGGCACGGAGTGATGCTGATACTCATTGCTGAGGGCTTTTCTTTCATGTTGGAAGGGGCTCAATAAGCAAACATTTTTAAAAGGTGTAAATGAGATTCCCACATTCACTGAGAGAATCCCAGCTGGAATATGCACCATTTGTTTAAGCTGGAACCGTACTAACACTGTGTCTGAAATGTACATTGCATGTTTGAAGCCAAAGGCATATCAATCTACTCTCTTTCACTTCAGCTGTAGAGATGGGACAGCTGATGACTGCTGGGATTAAAAAAGCACCAAATGTGCATTTTTCTTTTCCTTGGTTTACAATGAAAACAAAAGCTTACTGAAACGAATGCCCATCTTGCATGTCTGAGAGTCCCACAGGGTAGTGCCGGCAGCCTTGCCACCACTTGCCTGGGGTATGATGACACGCAGGGGCTCATGGGAACTGTAGTCTGGCAGATATCTGTGCCAGATACAATTATCATGCTCCACATTTGTGTAAATGATCTTGTTTTTCATTTATGGTTTTTCAATTGTATTCAAACCGTTGATTACCTGATAAACCTATTCTCTGCTATCTTTGCTTATCAATCATTTTATTTCTGTTGAATATTTGTCCACATTCCATTCAATGTCATAGGTTATCCAACAGATGTCTTATGATGGTAAATTGGAACAGTAACTTGTGTGTGTGTGTGTGTGTGTGTGTGTATTACATAATACACACACACTATTTTTTACAATACTGTATGGGTCTGCTTTGCCACTGTATATAAATGGATGCCTAATATGGCTTTTTTTTTTTTACTGGAAAACAAGATTAGAACACTATAGATTTATATGTCAAGATACCTTTGTAGAAACTTCAACTTATTTGGGAATATGTAGTACTCTACTTTGGAAACGTCCTTTTAAGTGAACACACAATATCATCGAGAAATGTGAGGAAAGAGTAACCTTGCTAAACCTTATGCCATAAGCACAATTACAGAGTATCTTTTAAAATGCACTTACCATAGATGGGCAATAGCAGGTTTGTTAGATATATCAATTATGAATAAAGGGGAGTACAGCTCAGAAGACTGCGACGTTATACTGGTAACACAAAATTTGATGATAGAGGAGCAGTTCAGACTGGGAACCTGCAGAGCCAACCGCTACATGATGCATGTCTGACTGGCAAATCTTTTCAGCTTTTCATTTAGGAACTTTGCAGGTCTGTTTTAGTAAGGTTTGTGCTTCTGGAGACGGTGATCTTAAGTGAGCCGAGCCCACTGTGTTCTCCCAGCCCCTGTCCTCCTCCTCCTGCTCACTCAGTCCATGAAGGAGTCCTTCTCTCAAGGGCCCATCAATGAAAATGTGTTCAAATTCATTAAGATACTAAATATAAGGTCTAGTAGCTAGATCTTATTTTATTCTCTTGTGTGCCAAGGTCTGAATTTCTGTGTATTGTTTACTTCCATATTGAGCAATGTACAATAAACACATTTGCACAGAACGATTCTTAATTTTTGGCCCCGTTTTTATAGTTATGTTAGATTTTAGGTAACTCTTAAAGCAGACATCATAATGCATTCATAAAGCATTATAAACATGGCTATAACTATAAAAAGCCATAACACATTATAGCCATGTTTATTATGCATTATGAATTCTCCATGAAGCGCTCATCTATAATGCACTCTAGACACCTTCGTAATGCATTATAATGGTCAGTATAAGGCATTAAAAAAACTATGAACATAGATATAATGAGCAATCCATTTTAACAATCCAGCACTATTAAGCAGATAATGTTCTCTTAAATAACCCATATGAAAACCGTATGAACTGAGGGCATTTTCTGTGTCAATACTCAGTAGCGTCGGAAGGAGTATCACATTGAGAAAGGATGTGATATAAGAAAGATTTTAGAATAGAAGATTTCCATCCATTTTAAATAAGACTAACACCGCTTTGGGTACAGTTTCAGAAGAAACATTATAAAAAAAATAACTGATTCAAATGGTAAAATGAGTTTGTCTGATACGGGACTACAATCTTCGTTTAAAAATATGTTTTAACGCACTTTTTCACCTGTTCACTGTGATTCGAACGATTCGCCCGCAGAGGGAGCTGTCGGACGGCCGATTCGCCCACAGAGGGCGCTGTCTACCGCTATATTGGAGGTTTCCAAACTTCTATTTCTTCTGGAGGTGATGAACCTTTACTTTTATTCGGGTTTCATTTACTTAGATTAAATTGGTCAAGGACCTCGGGGGCTAACGGTTCAATTTAAGTCTTTGTATACGTTTTTATTTAGAGAGACTGAAAACGGGAAAGTCGTTTTGGTTATGGATAGAGCTTGTGATTTTTTTATGACTGATGTGCTACGGTCACCGCGGAAATGTAAGGAGAATTCTGTAAATTAAAAAAACCTGGGGCGTACGTAAACGTGAACCTAAATATTAATTTGAACAATCCAATTAAAATTATAGTAGTATTACTTTTGGTTGTTGATAGGCGATTATTTACGTTAGTCTTGGCTTTTCAGCATGGCGCGTTTCCTGTTTTTCCAGCATTTCTGTTATGGTCAGAGTTTGCACCTCAGTAAGAGCTCAATTGCCTGCTTTGCTGAGAACTAAAATGATCCAGGATGGAGCAGATGTACAGCACATAGCGCAGCTGGATCTGTAGGCCTGAAATATACTCATGCTACCTTTTTAAAGGTTCCGGATCTTTTGCATCTCGATCGCTGACAGCTGGCAGCCCTATGCGGCAAAAGGTTGATTGCCTTTACAAGCCTTTCCCCAAAGAAGGGGTGGCTTAAGCACTATGGATATACCTCTGTTTCCAGTGTGTTTCTGTCCAGTAAAGATTTCAAGCTGTGCTGACATAACATTAATCTCTCTAGCTGTTACTCTCAATTCTCAGTGTCAACAGTAGCAGTTTAAAATCAGTTAGATGGCTTCCTACATAATTATTTTGCTGGAGCCATGTAAAATCCAGCCTACAGCAAGGCACGTGTAGCTAAGCGGGCAAGTCTGAGTGTCAGTGCTAAACTTTACTGGAATATCCTCCAGATAAAGCAGATTACCTGTAATAAATAGTTTTATATGAGAGTGTTAGTCAAGGTCTATAAATATAAAACCAAAATTCTGGCAACTTTGCATTTTATTCAGGCACGAGTGTGCAAGCGAGGTATAAATGTAATTATGCGGATTGCTGCTGTGTCGTCTTTTTTTATGAGGTTTCACATTTCTCTCAAGACTGACTTTACCGAATGATGCCTGCTCTAGCTAGTCAAATGGTCCCTTGTCTAGCGACAGCAGAGAGCGTTTGAAATGCACGGCATGCTGGGATACGGTGCAGCTCAGGCAGCGCAGAGATGGTGGTGCAGAATGACGAAGAGCTCCTGCCCCCCCCCCCCCCTCCGATGGCCTTGTCGGCCTGGACACCTGGCCGCCCCCTTCAGGGCCGCCGTGCCATTTCCATCTCAAAGGCCCCCATCAAGCTGGCCCTTTCTCTCCTCTCCCAGCCCTGATTTATCTCCTCTGAGGAACGGAAGCCCATGCCTTTAGAAATCCATCCCCGTGTTATTTTCCAAGGAGGGAGAGTGGAAAGCGAGGAGCCTTGTGATCTCCGGCACGATCTCTCGGCCAGGTGGGTGCCTGTCACAGTGGCTGATTCATGTGTTTCGATTTCGGATCCTCTGCCATTTGTCCGGCGTGGGCCCTGGCAGGCAGGGGGTGTCGTCTCTGCCTCCCTGGTGTCTGATTGCTGTGCTCTGATGAAGCGTGATGCGTGACTCGGCTTGTGTTCGCAGCTCTTCAGACGGCTGGTTCTCCACAGTTGAGGTGCTGAAGTCAGGGTGAGGGCAGTGCATTATTTATACTGCTCAGGGAAACACTCGCCCTCTTGATGTGTCTCAATGTCCGACCAGGTAATTTAATTATCTTAGTTCCTCACTCCTGTCTCATCTGTCATGGTGAATGCACACACTTATTCGTGTGAGACGTTAAAAAGTAACAGTTTTTTAACAGACACATCAAACGAGCCTATTTTCCAAAGAAGCTTTACCAAGCATTTTTAGAAGATTCAAGATTCAAGCAACTTGTCATATGTTCAGTACACAGTGATATTTTGTGTTTTGTTTCCTTTAGACCTGGTTCTTTGCTGGGGAGTCGGCACCTCGGTGTGTGAGGGGGGGGGGTTGCTGTGTAATGTGGCTCATGTGCCAGGCCCCAGCCCCCAATTTGTGTTCTCAGCTGTTCAGGTTTCACCTTGCATTCCCTGTCCAGTCTCTCCAAACTTGCGTTTGTGTGCTTTCCAAGATCATCTTTAATGTCCTTGTAAATGCCTTGTAATATTTCTCAATGGAAATATTTTCTCTAGAAGCCACAGCATGGTTCTGCAAATGTTTCAAACAGAAGTGTATACGTATTTTATTACATTGATATTTTTCTCTTTGATAGTAAAAAAAAAAAAATTCTAAATACTCTGTGTATTTAGACAGCTGCTCAGTCTTTTTGAAACCGAACCATTTACAAATCAGTGTGACACCATCTTATAGATTAGATATCTGCATTGTGTTTACTAATGATGTTTGTATATTCCATGTCAATGAATTCCCCATAACCCATTGATCCTATGCTGATAAGAGGTGCGTGTGTTCTGTCTTCAGATGTCTATTTCTGGTATCCTGTGTTGATGGCTCCTACACCGGCAGTAGACGTAGGCCATGTTTACCGTAGTAAGATTTGTAAAGTACCCAGAGTAGGTGATGAAGGGGAAAACATGCCAGACCGTCGCTAGCATCACGAAAGAGCTGCTGTCCCCTTCTGACATTCACAGAATCCATCATGGTATCATTTTCAAGGAGACATCGCCTGTGGTCGCACACACCTGTTCAGAGGCAGCGGGGCAAACAGAATCCCTGTAACTCCGAGTTTTTCTCATTCATTTTGGAGGGAACTGAGTAGGTGTATAGCTGTAGGCCGCGGTGGAGCAGGCGGCATGTTGGGTCATGCACCCCAAAGCAGGCTGGCCGAGTCCCAGGAGAGCCGCTGCTGGAGTGAGGTGTCTTACAAAACCCTACCTGGGTAAACGGGAAAATGTCGAATTGCAAACCCCATGTCAAAAATGCCATGTCTGCAGAAGCTTTTGTCCCTGCCGAGATACTTCCAAGTATCTTCCATCGCAGTCTCTGAGCTTAGTAAGGAGGTGAAGGAGGGTTACCCACTTGGAGTTACCCACACCTGGATGATCTCCTCATAGCTGAAGGGGGAGGCGAGGGAGGAACTGTAATCCCTTCATTGTCGGAGCCATCATCTGGTATCAGAAAGCCTGAGGCCTCCCCTCGTGCTATAGTGTGTCAGATAAACCATGTTTGTGCCGCAGTGTTACCTGCAGAAATCAGAAAGCATATTTGGGCCCTTTGCCGATGGATAGGTGTGCAGTTACAGGCTGTGCTGCCTGTGCTGCCCTGTGTGGGCTCTGCGTGAGAGGGTTGCAGGCAGCAGATGCTAAAGCCCCCCCCACCCGACGTGGCGGAACAAGAAGCAGACTATGAACCTGAGCAGGATTCCCTCACAAGATTCTCTGCATGTCTGCATGCTGGCCTCAAGTTGCAACATCATTTTTCAGCCGCTTGCCCCTTATCTAGTTGGTTGGTTTGTGGTTTCCTGGTTTTTCCAAACAAATGCAGAATTCCTCAAACGCCTCTGTAAGTACTGGGGTGAGGAGTTCCCTAAATCCCCAGGGTAGGGGTCAGGGGTCAGGGGTCAGGCCAAGGATTTAGTGGACTTGCCTTATCAGGGAGAGCTTGGTTTAATTGTGTGACAAAAGACATGCAAAATGATACCGGCTCATTGGAGACTGAGGCAGAAAGTAAACAAAATAATGGATCTTCATATCGCTTTTGTTGTCGGGGGTGTTGTTGTCTCTCCTGTGGGGGTTACTAGTCAGCTTGGTGATGAGTTGCAGATGCAGGACGTCAACCTCAGTGCTGTTGATTACACCCCCCATACCATCTCCGCATGCTCTCTGGAGGCACAGCAGTCTCAGCTTGTAACTATATACTGTAGCTGCTCTCAGTGATGATGGAGGGAGGGCAGGATGGGAGCCGGGGAAGGGAGAGCAGGAGGGGAACTGAGGAAGGGAGAGAAGGAGGGGAGTGGGGAAGGGAGAGACGGAGGGGAACTGGGGAAGGGAGAGAAGGAGGGGAGTGGGGAATGGAGAGCAGGAGGGGAGCCAGGGATGGAGAGCAGGAGGGGGCAGGGAATGGAGAGCAGGAGGGGAGCTGAGGAAGGGAGAGAAGGAGGGGAGCCGGGGAAGGGAGAGCAGGAGGGGAGCTGGGGAAGGGAGAGAAGGACAGGTGCCAGGGATGGAGAGCAGGAGGCATGCTGGGGAGGGAGAGTAGGAGCAGAGCTGGGGAAGGAGAGCAGGAGCAGAGCTGAGGAAGGAGAGCAGGAACAGAGCTGGGGAAGGAGAGCAGGAACAGAACAGGAGGGGAGCCAGACA